GGCCGGCCGGCGATGAGCCGGAGCGACATTTCCTTGCCTTTCCCCCCCCAGGACCCGACCGCTGGCATGAAAACTACCCCATGGCCAAGGGAGACAAGCAGTCACCCATTGAGATCAACAGCAAAGACGTGCGGCACGACGCTTCTCTTGCCCCTTGGCACGCCAGTTACGATCCTGGGGCAGCGAAAACCATCCTGAACAACGGGCGCACCTGCCGAGTCGTCTTCGATGACACTTTTGATCGATCAGGTCGGTTTTTGGTTCGGCTTTTGGGGGTTGTTAGCAATTGAGGTCTGCAAACCGCTGGGAATCAAAACACATCCTGTGGTACCTGGCCTACAGAGGCTGGCAGACAAAAGTCATTTGCGTATGTAAAAAAGGTGCTCCCAGAGTTTATTCTGGTGGAGCCAGCCATGTTTAGGTCCACCATAGGTGGGACAGGGAGGCTGCAGCTGCAGGGGCACCCCTGAAATACAGACTCGGCTGGAAGGTGGACTTCTCTTCCCCAAGTCACCTCCTTCAACGCGGACACTGCATCCTCAGGCTTTGTGTAAGGGGAGAGAGTGTCACCCAGGGGGTTTTAGTGCATACTCTGAGAGGCACTTCATAAACACAGAACTTGTGTGTTTCCCCCAACTGTGATCTTGATTTCTTATTATTTTTCTGAAAAAGCTATGAAAATAGCATTTATGGAAATAGCATTTCATAGGTTCTGGAAAGCTATGAAATGCCTTTGTTATTTAACTGAGAAAGAGCAATCTCTAATCTCTAAGTTAAATTGTTAAAAACTTGATTCCAGAGCTGTATCAGTGCATAGCTCTGAATGCAGCCAGGCAACAACAGTCAAAATGAATAATAAATTCACAGTACCATATAATGCGAACATATCTCAAGAGCATGCAATATTGATCAGTCCTTTATCAAGAAGGAAAGCAATCTAATTAATGGAAAACAGAGTTACTTTCCATTGTATTTTTCTGCATCTGCTTTGATGGCACTTGTATTGGGATTTTGTTCTTAGTAAGCTATATAATTAATGAAATATATCTGCAGTACATTGAAAGATCACTATCTCTTGTTTATCTTGATGAGCGCATTGTTTTCTTGGACTCAAACTTTATTTACCATTACAGCTACCTGTTATTGCTCCACATCTCGCAGATGGAATCTATGCTATTTAGGACAGGGACCACTTCTTTGTTATGTATTTGTATCGTGCTTTAGTATTTATTACCACAATTTCTACACAGTGGCCTCAGACAAACCATAAATTGCACTTTTGTTATAACATGGAATGCTCTTCCACAAGCACTGCATAAAATCATTGCCATGACTCAAAGCATGGGAAGTAAATTAATTATGAACCTTTTCACATGGTGGTTCTGCTCTGTCTTTGCAGCTTCCTAAAGGCTGAAATGTTAAGACAGAGGCTTCTCAAGGATGTGCATGCCCAGGGAACTGTATTGGAGAAAGACCCTGATTTGGCCAAGCAGAGTGCACCCCCTCCTCTGAATCTGTTCCCTCCCCACCTCTCCCCTCCCCATCATCTCTCTTGTTGCTCTGGACACCCAGTGTGTACATTCACTCCCCGCTTCTGTTACTAACTTTCTGCAGGCTGCTGGACAGTAGTTAGGGCTCAAGCCTTTCATAGGGAATCAAATACAGTGTTTGACTGCTCTGAAAAACCACATGAGAAGCATTTCATAAACATTACCTTCATTTGTTGGCTTCTGTGGTGGCAGCAGCTGAGGATAAGTAGTAGCCACAGATCCGATTTTAATGGGAAAAAGAAATCTAGCTTGAAGATAGCCTTTTTTGATCTAATCAGATAGAAAAATTTGAATGTTAAAAAGATTTTTTTATGCTAGAGATCTGCATACCATTATGAAGTGGTGTTTCCAAGTGCTTCACAGTATTTGAGTTCTGGAAAGGGCCACTTGTAGGAAATGACTGCTAAATGAGTTTCCAACTCTGATACTGATTTAGCTTGTAAATGTAGGTAGATCACATAAATTCAGCTCCTGAAGGTTCCTCCCTCCCATTGATTCCCATGTGAAATGGCAAGCAAATACTGGTGAGAATTTGGACCTTAGAGTCTATGCCTTATTTTTCCTACATTTGAAAGTGAAATAATAATAATAATAATAGTAAAAATTATTATTATTGCTGCTACTATTATTATTATGTGACATATCATATTTTCCATTAAAGGCTTCTACAGAAGGCTTACTCAATACTGTATTGAGTTATGATAATTTATATATGAACAAACTCAAAACCTAAGAGGAACTGCATGCCTAAAACTCAACACAGTGCTTTGTTCCTGCCCCCCCAATGGCTGTGACATCTACCAACTAAAAAGAGAAACTGCAAAGTTAAACCTCTTGCTCTGTGTAGGTATTCCAACACATATGATATCAAGAATTAATTTGAGACCATTGGGCACAAGAGGATTTAAATATTATTTCAATGTTAACTTTGAACTTCAAAGCTATTGGTAGAAGTTCAAACTTGAATGCTATTTAAACAAGGTCTTCTGGCACTGCAGTTGTGAACTGCATTATCAGCTTTCTGTGTAAGGAAACACGTCTCATTCCTGCCTTAGGTAATGAATGAAAAATATGTTTGAGAGCTTATCCTCTAAGCAGTCCCTGCTCAAAAGAATCCCCAAACTGAAAGAGCAGGTGTGATGTTTGGAAAGTCAGAGTTGATGTAAACTGTCAGACTGATGCGTGGTCAGTGTTATTTGGCTAAGAACAGCAGAAATAATAGCTTCATAATTTCTTTCATTGGTGGCAACATTAAATGTGGACTATAGCTTTTGCTTGCTCAAGGACATTTTTCTAACTCATTTGACCTAAACTTTCTTCTCTTCCCTCACTTTCAAAAAATAGATCCCTTTTTTTTGTTTTAGAAGCGGCAAACTCTGCTGTAACCATTGTTTAGTTGTCTGAACTGTAAAAGGTATGGCAGTTCCAGACTAGAGGTATGCTTCAAAGCACCTTTGGGTTAATTTCACAGTCCTATCCCCAATCATTTCACAACAGACCATTTCTTGGCAAGAATCAGCTGTGAATACCTTCCTTCTCTCTCCACATCAGGAACTATAGTGTGTCCACTTGCCAAGAGAAGAGGGGCTTGTTGGGGTTCTGGGGTTTGATTCTGTGCTTGACTCACAGCAGCTTCCACAGTTTTCACATCAAACAGGACTCTTCCTGAGGGATAACAGAATTCAGCTGCAATCTTGTAAACTGGTGAGTGTTGTGACCCCCACAGCAATCAGCTGGATTTACAAGAGGTGCTCCACACTTTTGAAGTATGGGTTCTTGTTCAGTAAACGTGTATGTCAGCGTTTTGTAGGCTGGTGTTGATGTAGATTATCAATTCCAGTGCTGAGAGGTGGGCCGCTCACGGGAGCCTACAGGCTGCGTCAGCTTCACTTGCATTGGGGTTCCTCTGATGACCATGGCTCTGAGCATGTTATAGATGGGGTGAAATATGCAGCAGAGGTAGGACTTATTTTTAATAGTAGTATTCAGTACTAACTGGAATTTGACTGATTGTGCATCTGAACAAATTAACCATTTTCCCTTTTGCAAGTATTTAGTTACGGATTTTTTCTCTAAAATCTGCCTATGAAACTTGTGAATATTCATCAGTGTGCAGTGGGATAAGTTGCATCTGCCAACAAATGTATCTTTGCAAGTATATACTAACATGGAATTTGCTTTTTCAAGCAAGAGTTTTTGCTGGTATTTTAGAAAGTTTTAAAAATGTTTGCGACAAAGCAATCTGTTATTTCCAAATAGGAAGATCTGTTTTCTGCTGATGTTTTTTGGCTTTTAGCCATTTCTGGTATAGCTTGCATTACTAAGTTAGTTTCAGAAAGCATTACTAATTAATAGAAAAACTCGCTAAAAGCACATTTGATAAACTCACATTCAAAATTAGATCCACCTTAAAACTGATTCAGAGTGGTAAAGAGTATCTTCTAGTTTCTGAACATCTGTGCTTTAAAATCTCTGTGTTTATTTTCGGGAACTGTGGAAAACAGATGTTTGGGTTTTTTTTTTTTTAATGTAAACTACTGCACTATTGTTGTCCAAATTTGCTAAAATTAATCGCTGCTCTAGGCCCTGAAGACGTCTTCAGGTAATAAATGTAAGTGAATTCACTACCGATGCTAGTGAATTACTAGCAAATGTTACTTCCTTCCTCCATCTTATTTGAGAATAGGCTCAAAATATATGCCTATGCCCACAAAAAGTCTGCAGTAGTGTTTTCCTGCCTTCCACTTACACCCTCAAGGTGCAGAGCTTACAGGGGCTTTGTCCACCTATTGTAGGAGAAAATTCGGGCAGATATTTTGCAGGGCCAGTGTGCACAAACATTGCAGAGATGACTGTGGGTGATGGTTTGAGGTTTTTTTCCCCCATTCCTTAGCCACAGCCAAACTGTGTTAGTGTTCTACTTTCTGTGGCCGACTAAACAGACAAATTCTGCTTCCTCAAGCTATTTCTTGGTTAGTTCAAGCACAGACTTTTTACTTTGCTTTTGTTTGCAGTACTCAAATATTTACTGACAGGAGAAGAAAGCCTGGAATGTATGAAATTTTGCTAGAATGGAACCAAAGATACATGGCTGCTCCACCTTTATCCTTAGAAATTATATCCTTATCCTCAAGAGAAAAGAAACAGAGAGCAATACATTAAGTTATATTCAGGGCAAATTATTTTGTTGTTATTTTAAATAATTGTTACTGTGTTTAAAAAAAAAAAAAGTAAAAAAATTGCATTCAAAATATGCACCAGACTCCTATTTTTTTTGTATGGCACTACGTTCCAGACACTACTTATTTTGAGATTCCACACTGCTGGTTGCAGCATTTGTAGCTATATGCAGGAGCCAGAGATTTTCTGGAAGGAGATGTAAAAACTTGAAATATATCCTGAAAATACTGCATTGTTGAAAGTAGAAATGAGAAAGAAATGTCAAGTTACTATCTCCACTCCTTTCCAGTACAATGTGCCAAGAGTAGTAAGAGATACAAGCGATAAAATATGTACTGCATACAACCCAGTGTAAATCCTTGAGCTGTTACCTGCATAACATGAAGATCTAAAACTCTACTTGAGACGAAGTGCATGTCAGTAGGTGTTTTATGCACTGCATGTGTGCGTGTCACGTGCTTGGGTTCAACTGTTTATAGTTGAATTGTCTGATTAATTTTTGAAGGTATTGTGTGGTAAACTCCATTTTCCTTCTTTTATGCTTCAATTAAATGCAAAGTGATGCTTATAGAAAGTGTGAGCGCATGGAAGCATGGGAACAGGAATAGGAAATACATATAGTTTTCTTCTTCGTGCCCATTCCTTTACTTACTGTGTACTGGAAACTTCTTAATTTAATGTAAAAGGTTGTAAGATTGCACTGTTGGCAATTTCTTGCATTTATAACTGAGGTTTCATTGATTTTTAGTTACATATGGTGCACTGGAATCCAAAACATGGTAATTTTGCTGGAGCTTTGAAACAACCTGATGGTGTGGCTGTTGTGGGCATTCTTCTGAAAGTAAGTGGCAAATATTCATTCTTTATAATTTTCTGTATTTTTCATCTTTCTCTAGTGCCAGGGGAAAAGTTCCCATTGTTTTTCCCTGCACTGTATCATTTCACAGGAAAACATTCAAAGCGATGCACAGACTGAAGTCACGTTATGTCCTTGGGCCCTCCAGATTCCATGCACTAACCTGTTCAGAGCCGACTTCTGACACCATTCATGACACCAGTGGCACATATCACGGGGTGGTATTGAACAAGAGACACACAACTTCAAGCCTGGGACACTTGCTAACTTTGTCCCTGATAGCTGACCAGCTCTGTGCTGTGATGTGTACTGAGTGAGGAGGACAGTCGGCATAGGAAGGGTGTTTCCTCCTGCCCTTTGTCTGCTAGCAGGTATCGTATCTACCTGTCAGCAAGGTTATGCTGACTGATGCCCATCCTTGGTCTCTTGCTGATCCCCACATGAGCTGGGGATCAAAAGGAGATCAACGAACCTGCGCCAAAAAGACCAAGTACTTGAAAGAATTGATGGTAAAAGAAGTTCACTGAACATTTTAACCTTGAAATACAGCAGCTTCATAACAAAATAATACTGTACTGGTATTTTCCAATTGATTTTTTTATAAACTTAACAGAAAGAAAGCAATTCTACTATCAAATCTGCATGCGGTCTAGGACACTGAGAAACACTAACAGGCAGACAATCTAATAGTGATAAATTATGCAAACTTTAGCTATGTGGCTGTCATTTTACTTGCAGGTGGGCATTTCAGCTTGAACACAGTGTCAGAGAATAGTTCTCCTTCTATTGTTTTATCACTAGTAAGCTGCATTCGTACAAGCAATAGCAAGTGGATGTAATTAATTTTGCCACAGTGTCCCTGGACAGACTAGATCCAATGTCATTTTAATTCTGTTACACTGTGAGGCAGCCTGACCTTTTTTCTTGTGGTTAGTTAAACTGAAAGTGACAGAAGGTCAGCCTCTGTCCACATTCTCCCCTATGACTATGTCCTTCAATTATTCTTCCTTTGTCATTTCTTTTGGTCTATTTTAGGCTAAAGCCTTATCTTGTAAAACACAACTTACATAGTATAACATTATGTTCCTATTAACAATGCTAAGGTCAGCTAAAAGGTCTAGAAAACTAAGTAGTATCACTGTATCTTCTCTGGCCTTCTTTCCCTGTTTCCTTGCTCACCGGCATAGGAGCTGTTGTTTTGCTCTGGGTTTGTCATATTCCATGACTGGGTTTTTGGGTATTGCTAAAACAGATATTGAATTATCTCCTGAAGAACTGAATTTAATCTATTTTGGAACAAGACATGGCAATAACAGCACATGTCTTATGCACACTGTCTTTACTCTTCTGGGATAGAGAGCCATGTCAAAGCTTTTGGAGGTGCTGAATGTCATGAACACAAGCAATAAAGTGACCCCATAGCTTGAGGAGGTCATGACACGAATCTCATCATATGTCTTACATCAAGTCTGATCTGACTATACGTGCTGTGGAATGATTGAAGTGTCTGCAGGAACTCCAGCTGTTCAGACTATCAACACTTTGCTGTGTCTTCATACGTCTCACAGTGGTTGTGGGTCGCTTTCAAACCAGGAGCCAAGGGCTAGGCTGGTAGATGACACTGTCTGAGTGAGCAGTTTGTTCCTCTGACAGTGGGAGACACCTTGTAGAGTCTTTCAACACATTTTTTAATTGCAAAGCCAGATACTTAAGTCTGCTATTCTGGATGTTCTTTTAACACTCACAATTCTGTGTCAGTCTGTACTGGATGCTCTGAGAGTACTGCTGCCTAACTTGACAGATGGGATGTACTGAATTTCTTTCAAATACTGTGGAACATGATGAAAAAATACCGTACTTGTGCTTTGCATTACAGGTTGGAAAAACTCCCAAACCAGAGATGAAGAGAATTCTTGAAGAAATTGATAACATTAAGACCAAGGTATCAAAACAATTTTTGTGGTATAATGTAGTTGAAAAGCAGCAGAAGCAGAAATCGGGAGTTCAGATACACTCTTTTTGGCATCATTCTGTTACCTAACAGTAGCACCAGAGGTGATACATTGGACTGTGGAGCAGGACACTTTCTTTTACTTAAGTAAACATATAACTCCTCACTTCTGTAAGTATTCTTGCTGTAGAGGATTTTGTGTCAATCCTTGCATGCACAATTGATGGTCTTATTGATACTGCTCTGTAAAAATATGCTAGTGTGCCAATATTAAGAAGAAATGAAAAGCTTTTTGAATTTGAGGACAGCAGTGGCCAAAAAAATGCATATAATTGAGTCAGAAATTTAGTTAGCCTGAAATGAGAAGAAACTAGTAGGAATGATGGAGCAAGCTCCATCATTAAAAACTATTAGTTTTAAGATGGAACTGAATTCATTTATAAAAGGGATTACACAGTACAGTTTCTGCACCAGTCCTAGGTTCTGTCTTCCTATGATGCTAGCACAAATAGTATTGCAAACCTATTCTGAACTTTCAGTTTAATTAATGATCTAAGGACCAAAGTCCATACCTATTGCATAGATACAACTGCAAAAGGGAGTTCTTTGCAGAGAATTGTGATACTGCATCTATTGTTATTTAACTTTATTAATTAACATAAGCCTAACCTCTAGGTATACTTTAGCAATTCTACTTCGTGATAAGCTTTATGATCCTAATCATGCTAAAGGAAAAGTCCCTTTTTTATTTGACATTGAACATACCACCAGATCACCAGGACTGAATTTTACAAATTTTGTAAGCACCTTCTTCCCAATTTAGCAGAATTTCTTGCATTTAATTTATGTATGTATGTACTGCCATTGATGTCTGGGTCTGAGCCTGAAATCTGTTCTCTCCTCACTCAGAGTCATATTAATTTTATTTTTTCAACCTTTTCTTAGTCTTCAGATACAATTCAGTTCTTTCTGCCGAGGGAGCTGAATGTCATTTTTGTTTGCCCTACCTGTTGCTCTCCCTGCTGTGTCAACAATCTCTGTCTTGATACAGATTCAGCTTTCTCTCATAATCCCTGTATCATTTTTTGGCCATTTACATGCAGAAAAGCTTTGCCACAGTTAATAAAAAGTTGATTGATCACCCTATGAAACACTGTGTCATATTATGATGAAAAGATGGCAGTGATAGCCACTCCATTACATTCTATCCAAGATTGCCTAACTGGAGATTTTATGACTTCTAACAGCAAAAAAATAGAAGTCTGATTTCCTACATCCAGATATTCTCTGTAGTGGTTCTGGAAAAAGCAATAGCTGAAGAAAAGCAGAGAAAGATAGGTGCGTATGCAAAAAAACACATCTTGTATTTTATCTCTTATATTTTTTTTTCCTGTCATCACATACATTTTACCAAGATTACTTATTTTTCAGGAAAGATTAATGGATGGTATTACCGGTGTATTTATCGCACATGCAGTTTCAATTGCTATGGTACATTACAGACAGAGGAGTTTCTTGGACACTGTACTGTTGTGCTGGTTTTGGCTGGGATAGAGTTAATTTTCTTCATAGTAGCTAGTATGGGGCTACGTTTTGGATTTGTGCTGAAAACAGTCTTGATAATAGAGGGATGTTTTTGTTACTGCTGAGCAGTGCTGACACAGAGTCAAGGCCTTTTCTGTATTTACTGAAAAAGCACAATTTTGTTTGTGAAGTTATTTGCAAACTCATATTGAATTTACAGAATAATTTTGTCAGGAAGATATATTTGGAGTCTTGATGTTATTCTTTCCACCCATATTTTGTGCAGGGATGTGTGGAAAAGATTTCAGCTCTTCCTGTTGCACTTTGTAGGGTAATACTCTGTTCTCATCTAGAGAAGATTCTCCATGATTGGAGAAGGAATTAGGAATAATAGATTTTGCTTTCCAAAACTGCATCGTAAATACCAGTAGAGAACTGAACTTGTTTAGTTCTTGTTGCCCTGAGGGGACAAGGAAGTCTCATCACACTCCCGTGGAGATATTCTCTTGCATATCCCATTCAGTGGAAAAGAAAAACATTTCAGGAAATGTTGTCTGGTGTCTGCTGTTCTCCCTTGTCTGGTGATAATCACCTTTAGTTGTAAGACATTCAGGATCCAGTACTCTTCCAGGAAATATTTTAATTTTTTACATTAAGTGTAATAGTGCCAACAAAAAGATTGAGAGTGTCACCATGACAATGTAATTAGAGCACAATTTTGGGAGGAGAGAGGCATGCAGATTTAAATTCCTTCAGATAGAGGAGAAGACTGTAACGAATCTGGGATAAATGCCTGGCCGCTGTTCTATGGGATAAAAAGGGTACCAGTACCTGCAGTGCCACAGCCTTTAACTTTTATCCCAAGTGACCCAAAATAAAACAAAATTTTGATAATTCCAGAATAGAAAAATGTAACAATGAATTTGCTTTGTCCCACACAATTCAGTTTGTAATTTATTTTAATTTATTAATGGAATAAAAATGTCAGTTATTATTAATTGCAGGGCAAATGCTTGACAGGAGGAAAAGGAGACTGATCTCTTGCATGAATCTATATTTAATTACTCCCTTTATAGTAACATAGATACTGATGTCTTTTAAGATGCATATCCCCTGAGTTACTGCAGATAATTATTTTTTGTTTCTCTAAGGGCAAAGAGGCTCCTTTTCAGCACTTTGATCCTTCAATCCTTTTCCCCAAATCACGGGACTACTGGACCTACCATGGTTCATTCACTACACCCCCCTGTGAGGAGTGCATCACTTGGATTCTCTTGAGGGAGCCAATTGAAGTCAGCTCAGACCAGGTAAACTCCAGCTAGTTCTGCTACTCCTTTACCAGTTCTCAGCAGTGTCCCAGTATGTCAGTGTGACGATTTGCAAGCCCTATGTTACCTTGCCTTTTTTGATAAGGAAAGCTTTAGCTGAGGACTGTGAGAAATTGCCTGCAGAATGGACTGTTGAAATGGACTGTAAAACTGACCTTGAGAATCAGGCTCTCTTCCTAGACACCTCCTGGAATAGCTTTAGCAGGACTGTTCTTGGGATCCTGAAAACCTGCATAGGCAGAAGTGCCCCCGAGCCACAAAATTCAGCCATCACAAGCAGCCTCAGTTCATTCTCTGTGCTTCAGCATTAAGTGGCAAGTGAGACTAACATTTAGCTGGTTTCCCAGTTTAAGAAATTGCTGGTCCAGATCTTGACTTCCTAAAAGCTGTCAGCGAGAAGGATCAAACTAGCTAGAACCTGCAAACCTGAATGTTAATACAAATTAATGTACTAATTGTGTTTATATAGCTCAAATGTGCATTTACACAGGAAAAAGAATAGAGAGCCAGACTGGATAAGGTGACCTTCTTTTTAGTTCTTGCGTTAAAACTTTTGTTTATTTATACTATTTTCTGCTTCAGCAGTACAAGTCAGGGTATACGCTTTTTACTGATTTGGCTGTTTTCAGAACAGGTTTATTCTGCATTCTGATGAAAGGGTAACAATTAACAAAGCAACACTGAATTTAGATTAATTTGGAGAACAACAGCTAAGTGCTGAATTCATGATTGAACTTAATAATCCAGCTGACATACATTTCTCTGCCTTACAGAACAAAATACGAACTTATGCAGACCAGCGTTTTCTGTCAGACTACCTTGCATAGACTTAGATGTGCATCCTCCTTCACAGATAGCCATATTTTCACAAGTGATTTGACTACAGTCCAGCTCCAGCAGGGTCACAGGAGGCCTCTGCTCCTTTTCCGCATCGTGAGTGTGGGTCAGGGAAAAATCCAAAAGAAGCCCAGGCAAGGGTCAGATGATGCACTGTTCTGTGGATGAAGAGTGTAAAGATCCACAGAAACAGTGCCCAGCTGTTGGGCTGCAGTGATCTCCACCAATAATCTCTACTAGGATGCTTGTCATTATATAAGAAAATTCCTTTTCTGTCTCAGAGTTTGTTCTAGGCATCAAGGTCCACACTGCTTCCAGGTGAATTCACATGGACACTAATTTTTCTTCCCTGCAGATGGCGAAGCTCCGTAGCCTTTCCAAGAATGGTGAGAACGAACCTGTGAACCCACTGGTTGATAACTGGCGCCCACCTCAGCCTGTGAAGGGCAGGATAGTGAGAGCCTCGTTCAAGTGAAGTCTCAAGTCTCACTCTGCTGAAC